ATTCCACTATAGCACAGAGACCAATACATTAAAAGGTCATGAAAAAGTGGCGTGGGACATGCAGGGCGCAATGTACAAACGGGGGGGGGGGGTGTCAGGTTGTTTTCTTTAACATGACGCTACATGGTCACTGAGGAACACGCTTAAATTAACACTGTAGAATTCAACTGAATGTGGCACAAACATGACAACTTCCAGGCCTGCCTTCAAGAACCACCTGGAGGATGGACTTGCAATCTCTAGATTTTAGTGTGAGGAGGATTACAAGTCTTTGGAAGAATAAAAAGTTCACACTTTTAAAATTTCACAGAATTTTAAGGCCAAAACATAGTGGGTTCATTTCTCTTCACTTGCAGGAATAAATCTGAGGTTTTACTCAAAACCACACTAAGCTTCCAGTTCAAATCCCAACCCAACCTTGTGACCTCCGGCGTTGAAGTTCTTCCCATCAATTAAAGCTGACAGGGTCAGTTTGACTCCTAGGGAGAAGAAATATCACAATCATTCACGGCCAGTATTATAACCAATTTAAACTTTCTAGAAATCATGGACAGAGTTGACAGCATGGATTACAGCTGAGTATAAGTGGCACTAAACTGGCACAGTATTCATCTATGATCGTCTGATCCACAACGTAAAGCATGAGCATGGCAAACCACATTTGGAGTTTCAGCGTTACAAACAAAAATGAGCAAATGCAAAGGCCAAAGTGACCAAGCTATAGGTAAAAATACATAAATATTCTCTAAGTTTTCAATTTGACTTTGTCTGAATAATCAAATGAAATAAAACAGCCTGAACCAAGCTATGGTGACAGCAGCTGTTCCATAGGTTACTCATTATTTCTCTATCACCTCCTACCCTGTGTTTTCATTTACATACCTGGTCGAAGGGTCTGAGTATAACCCAGTCCAATCAGGCTGGCATTATTTACTTTAGCCTAAGATTAAGAGATGGAACAGAAACAGAAAGCAATCAATTCCATTATATTGAAATCCAATACAACCACCACTTCAGGGATTAGGTTTCCAATACCTTAGGCCCAATCTAGAATTGCTGAAAGTGAAAAATTAAATAACAGGATAATCTTTTAAGAGGTCAACAAGAAGGTAGGAATAATGGGGACCCTGAGTCTATATGCTTAAAGGGCTAAAACAAAATTTTTACACACACTGCAGGCAAACAGTTCTGCATACTGAATCCTCTGAGATGCCAATTTACAACCTCTGACAGTGGTGAGAGCATGAACTCTTGTGACAGAAAAACAGATGTGGCTTCAAATCTTGGCACTGCCACATGCTATGATCTTGCCGTTTCTAGGCCTGTCTGCTCATCTGTGTATCAGGAATAAGGTCACACTGCTCAGCACACAAAGCAGTTGTCAAGGTTAAATGAGACACTACACTTGAAGCTTTAGCAGAATACCTGAAATCCAAGAGCTCACTTACAGCTTATTATTAGTAAGAATTACTAACAGTAATCTAATCCCATAAATTCACAGATGAGAAAACAGAGGCCAAAGAGATCAAATTACTTCAGAAGGCCAGACAACAGGCAAGTTAAGAGAGGCCAGGACTAGACCCTATATTTTCTGACTTGAGGCATAATAATTTCTTCACTACACAGTGAGCTGCTCACTAAAATCAATAAGAAACATGCAAACTACACCCTATCACAACACTCAGCTACAACTCGGGCAAAAACAATAGCAGATCCAATCTGGCAGCACACTCTTACAGACAGAGAGGTTCTACAATCCAGCTTGTATTTAGCAGCAATGCCAAAACGGGTGTTGTTGCTGCCAGCCGTCCATGCAAGGTTTATTGATGTTTCGATCTTTTCATTAACTTTCTGGTAGATAGAACCTCCAAATTCAGTGCCATCGTTCCTGTTTTCATAACACAAGAAAAAGTCATATTCATTTGTACCACTGTTAGGATATGGAAACAAATTCTAAGACTATCTAAATATAGGTCTCATTTTCTAACTAAAAATTTCAGCAAATTTGCAGCATAAAGACTAATAAACAAGTAATTTAATCCAGTTTTGTGATTTATAATCACCGAATTAACCAAACTAAAACAGTAAAACTTGATTGATTTGCTCAGCTCTTTCACATAAAGCAAATTTCTTTTTTTTTTTTTGGCAATAAGAATTAAATCTAGGACCTTGACACTAAATTACATCCCCAGCCCTTGTTTGTTTTAATTTTGAGATAAAGTCAAACTAAGTCACTAAGTTGACCAGACTGGGCTCAAATTTGCAATTTTCCTGCCTCAGCCTCCCAGAGTGCAGGGATTACAGGGATGGGCAACCACACCAAGCCACATAAGGTAGATTTCTTATACACAATTCAATTATGCTTATGGACAGAAGCAGCTATCTCCGGTAAATATGATCTACAGATCTACATATGATCGCTGGGATTTTCACAGAATATAGAAACTTCAGAGTCCAAAGATTATGAAAAAAAAAGTATAGGAATAAAGCTAATTCTGGATTTATTTTAAAACACAATCCTAAAATATCTAGGGGCATTGTTCCAGAGAAGCACCTAAATGACAATTTTCATGATTTCCCAAATAACAGTTTCATCAATGTCCATGCCTCTGTCTAGAATATACCACTGTGTTTTAGCTACCATTTATAAATTAGTTTCTAGTGAAGAACAATCTGCAGAACTTCAAAAACACAGGGCCCGCCTTTTGCTTTTACTTCCTGGTGCGATAGCACTGTCCAGGAGGCCAAGGCATAAAACATAATTGAAAAATTCAGATTCATTCAGTCAAATGATGCTACCTACATAAGTGAATCCCAGAACTCCTCTCAGGGCTCTTATAACTTCTGACTACAAGAGGAGTAGCAGGGTTCTGACCAAGGACACCTGAACATCTTACAGGACTCCTGAGGATGGTCCAGAGTGCTGATGTCAATTGGATGGTTATTAGTAATCCAGACTTGCTTCTGGATACTGCCCAGATGAGTATTATACTAGACAAGGCAGAAGGTCTCCAAGAGATCCTTTACCAAAGAGGGTGCTCCATGCCATGCTCAGGGAGCCTCCTTCCCAGAGGTTCTCCTACAGAGCCTAGAACTCCTTCAAGCTCAGGGACAGGCCAAAAGGCCAGTAACCACCCACAGCACAACAATGTGCACTGAGCAGACGGCCTTTTGGCAGTGTTTCACTGACTCTAAAGACTGCACAGCAAGGATGGGCACCAAACATGCTGAAAAACTACCATTTTGGGGAATGGCACTAGTACTAATGAAGGAATCAATTGTAGACACTCACACATGAGTGTGCAGCTGAAAGTCTGAAGCCTTGTAACCCAGAGCGAAATTATTCTGAGATAGTTTGGATTTGGCTGTGTCAAAACTCATCTGATAGCCAGCAAGCCAACCTTCAAAGGCCAACACAGCCCAACCATAGATGGTTGGTCCAGAAAAATCTATGTCAACATTACTGCCAAGACTGAAACAATCCCGTTTATAGGAGGCCTTCAATTTCCCACTCTTCTTTCTGTAAAAACAAAATCAATACAATGAAACATCAGTTTCTACTACTGTTCAAAAATCTTTAGAGTAAGACCCTCTCTCTCCCAATGTAAAAATTGTTTTGGTAGATGGCATACATGTGGTAAAAATGTTTCAAATTATTTTTGTTAAGGTTAGAAAGGCAGACACTAGTATTTTCTATTTCCCATTACAAAATCAAATTAATAGCTCACTTGATATTTAACTTCATAAAAGTATGAACAAAAATACAAGAGAGAGACAGGCTGGTTACAAGAACTAAACTTAGATTAAAAAGAAGTACTCTGAATGTTTTCATCACAAAAAAAAGATAGATGTTTGAGAAAATATGCTTACCCTGATTTGAACATTATATAATGTGTACATGTATCAAAACACTACCTGATACCCCATAAATTTATTATTCTGTCAATTAAAAATATATAAAATATTATGATTAAGATATTTCACTGTGAAATACTGTAATCTGAAAATATATGCATACAGACATTTGAGAAGTCAAATCTCCTTAAATGTCAAATGCCACAAAAAGTAACATCCAAAACCCAGAATTAACCTATCATAGAAAGAAGTGTATTTCTTAAAAAAAAAAATGCTAAATACCCCAAATCACTTCTTAATAGTCCTTGTCCTATTGAGACTCTTATATTTATCCTAATGATAACTAAAGCACGTGGTAGGAAGGACACACCTGTTACAGCTAAGAAGAAATTCCACTTTGTAGTTATCTAGCATCTTGTCCTTCAGCTAGCAGGACCCCATCTTAGGCAGACAGAAAATGGCACAATCCTCACTTTTCACATGAGGAACTTGAGCCAAGATGTTGGGTGACTGACAGAAGCTATGAAATCAAGTTTTAAAGCCAGCAGATTACATTCCTAAGAAATCAACTGAGCAGAAAACCATGTTTTTCAATCCTTAGAATAGCTAAGAAATATCTGTAGTCTCAGACTTGCCTAGCTCCCGAACTTTTTCTTCAACAAGCCTCTTTGGAATAAATTTGGAAGTTTTTGTTCACTTGTTCAATTTTCAAATGGAAATTTTACTCTGCATCAAGGAGGGGTCTTCTTATCATTATTACAAAGCCTCAGGCATCCCAAATAGCAACCTTCTAAGCTCTTCTTTCCTCTAGACTTTCCACTGTAACATCCTATTCTAAAGTTCTAAGGCTCCAACAACAATTCAAAAAATGGGGTTTGGATAATTACCCTGTGTTCGGTACAAATATAGTATCAAGAGTCAGTTTCAAACCTTCCGCCAACTGAAAAACAAAGATTTTAAATTAACAATTAGTAATTTTCAATTCTCTGACTCAAAAAGCCAAATTTAAGTTTCCTCTAACTTCCTCTTCAATAAAAAAGGAAGTTACTAAAGAGAGCCAAACATTAAATTACATAATGAATCACCTGTCACCCTTCCCTTTCTCCTTCCCCCTCACCCCAGACATGATTTTCCCATCAAAAAATAGGTTGAAGGCCAGGGATTTAGCTCAGTAGTTTCGCCGCCTGCCACGCAAGCCCAAGCACAAGGACCTGAATTCAATCCCCAGTACCAAAAACAAAACAAAACAAAACAAAAAATAGGTTAAAATGTATAGACCAGGGCCAAGGATTTAGCTCAGTGGCATTGCGCCTGCCTCACAAGCACAAAGTCCTGAGTTCAATCTCCGGTACCAAAAAAAAAAATTTATAGATCAAATCCTATTAGAGCAAATAATACATAGAACAAAAATAGTAGGATTCCAAAACAACAAAATAATCTTGCTATTTTCTTGAAATTACTGTAATGAGATAACCTGACACTTATCAATCCAATAAATAATTTATTCAGTTTTACCTCTTTATAAATGGCAATGTGTACTTAAACATACTTCAAAAAATAGTGCCCTGTTCACAGTGAACACTTGACAAATGATTCTGCCAATAGATTTTCTCCTTGACAATATTAAAAAGTCTAGAAACATTTTTCTGTGGAGCTAATTTTGCAATAATTACAAAACTAAACTAAATTACTATAACTAGTTTCTTCTACTCAGGAGAGGGTGGGCTGCAGAGCAGAATAAACAGAACTGGCCGGAACGAAGCTATAATTTGATAATTAGAATATTTACAAACAAAGGTTATTTTCTGAAACAAAAGGCATAACTAAAAAGGCCACACAAAGAGGAAAAAACACAGCTATCAATTAGGGTACAAGGTCTCATTCATCTGGTGCTTAGGATTTGTTCATTATTCAATCCGCAAGAAAAACTAAGCCTACAAGTAACTTCTAACACTTTCCCTTACCTTATTCTCCAAAGAGATTTCTGTCCCAAGAGTATTGTCTGTGTTCCATTTCTGGGAGAAGGTAAGTCCATAGTTACAGACTTTGTATTTGGTCTCTAGGTTGCCTGATGCTTTCCCCGTATCAGTGTAAGCATGACCTGAAGTAGAAAATTCCTGGAAAGAAATAAAACATAATTAAAATTAGCTCATCAGATAGAAAGCATTTATTTCAGAAAAGTGTTTAATGCATCAGAAACCAATACAATCTACTTTTTACTACAGTGCTACTCTATCGCAATTTATTTCTGGCTTTCCTGTTTCTAAGCTCTAAATATTTTAACCATTACTTTCCATCACTCTGCTTTTCTAACTGATAATTATTGTTCCATTTATTCTCCAATGGAGCATCTTACATTCTCTCCTTTAAAGAAAAATACATTTACTGAAAAATAAATTCTTTTACTAAAAAAGATAAAAATACTAAATATCAAATATTTTACTTTCATGGCCTAAAAAAATATCAGTTCTCTGTAATATCTTTCAAACCAGTGGCTAATCTAGATATCCTTAAAAATCCAACCTTTGAATAGGGTCAACATTTCATTACTTTCTTACAAAAGTATTTCTGTTGTGGAAAAATACAACTATCATAAAATGTACAATTTTAACAATGTTCAAGGATACAGTAAAGTGGCATTTAATACATTCACACTGTTGTGAAAACATTTCTACCTTTGTCTGCAAAACTATTTGCAAAATTTTCAGCATAAGTAATTTTGATATTTGAAATTATCCATTTTTCACAATAAAATGGAATGCTACAATTTATCCCTTTGTCTTCATTCTCCATCCCATGTGCTTTCTAAAGTGCTTTTACCTAACACCATAAATGCCTTAGTATGTCCCCCTTTCCATGAAGTGCCCTTCAGTCACATGACAGTAAGCAATTAGAAATAGATTTTCTTCTAGGGAGGACCAGGGTCAACATCTGTCACTGACAATCTATGAACTGTCAAGAAGAGAACATGCTGATTGGCCCTGTTTGCCAGAAGCATTTCTGAAATACTGCCAACATAACGCCAGGCTGCCAACCCTGCCTGTAATGTGAGCCCTCACTTTAACAAATATCCTACCCCCAACTCAAGTTCCACAGATGGATGAAGCAACTGTGAAACTATGATCTGTTTATCAACACCACACAGAAAGCCTTCAAAGTGATTATCATGCTGCACATTTGGGGAAGACCTTAGTAAAGAGTGATAAAATGTTAGTCATGTTTTAAGAGTTCACTAATTCTTTAACGTGACAATTGTTTTCTTTTAGTAGCTCCAACTATCCAGTGGTTTTTGTTTGTTTTGTTTTTCAGTTGTTATTGTGGTGGTTGTATTGGGGGGTGGTAATGGGGAACTGAGCTAACAGCCCTTGTATTTTGAGACAGGGTCTCACTAAGTAACTAGGTGCCCAGGCTAGGCTCAAATTTGCAATCCTCCTGTCTCAGCCTCCCACATCTCAGAATACTGGGATTACAGGCATGCACCACCACACCTGGCTTTCAGAGTTTTATTTTTTACTCTATCTTCCACAAATTTGACAAGTACAGTAAATGTAAATCTTAATTTTGGTGTTAGGGAAACTTTATGCACAAAATTAAGGAGATGGACTGGTCCATATGTCTTCCTTGTTATCATTTCTTAATTAGAAATAGCAGATTAAGTCTCAAAGAGAGGGCTAGAGTTGAGTTCCAGACTCACAATTCCTTCAGTTTTTGTCTAATTTCATAATTAGTTCAAATAAATAAAAACTACATTCATAACCATGCATTTAAAATCTATAGCTCTACATTAAATGCTAGTAAAAAACAAAACAAAAAGTTGCTTCTGTTAAGTAGACAGCATATGATAAAAATATACCAAGATATAATCTAAAATAAGGTAGAATGATCAATGAAATTTATCCTAAACCAAGACCAGAGATGCAAAGCAACCATGAAAACAAGCACATAAATAAGCTTTTCCTTACCATCTGAACAGACAAAACCACAGCGGGAGCAGGAAAGGGAGACAAAATTGTAGTTGATGATTTTCACAACACAAATGTAAATTGCACAAATTCTGTAACCTATTCAAAATGCACATCATTCTTCTACTTTAACAGAACCATACATACAATATGTAAGTGAGCATATTACACTACAGAAATCCAGAGAAAGAAATACAGGGACAAAACTAGATTACACAAAGCACAATACAAAATATCATAGGAATTCCACATGTTTTTTGTCCTTCTAATTAGATCTGTATATTCAGAAATAAACCCTGCATGGGTATGAACAGGTATACACCAACAAAAGATGCAGCCAATGAGAAAAAAACAGAAGATGAGGTACAAGAAGAGTTAATCTATTTGCTGGATTTATGGAACAAAAGCTCTGGTTAATGATGCTTTGAAAATACGCCAACACATACTTGACTACAGCTGTAATTTCCAGTAAAGAAGACTGAAATTAAGAGCCCAGTTAAAAACCAAAACTATCTTCTATATGAAGACATTCAGAGATACATTTTATTTCTATATTTTTCTTCAACTACTCATGAAGGGAAAGAATCAATTGCTTTTGTAAAAAAAACAAAATCTATATGAACCTCATAACAGAAATAAAGTTTTTATTCCCCATATATATATTCATCAGAGTTTTATGACTGGGGTCATGGTCAAAAATACATATTCTATATCTTCTAAGAGTAAGATGCAAAATACTATTATGACAAACATAAAAGGTCTCCCAACAAATTAAAACTGATTACCTACAGGCCTAACTGGCTGAGTATGTTCACTGAGATCTGAGAGCAGGACAAAGCTGTGGGGAAGACAGGATAGTGCCAAATGCTGTTTTACATAACCAGATGAACAAGGATTTTGAAACAAGTTGCTGTAAGTATGCTACATCTACTAAAAAATATTAGGTACTCACCACTCCACTACAAGACTTGGTTTTCAGGTCTATTTTGACCATGCCAAACCCTAAATACACACACAAAAAACAAAGTAATGTAAAACATGCAACATTCACTGGTTTTTTCAAGTCAAATCATGAAAATAGTGTACTGTGTGATGGCAAACCTTTTAGAGCTTTCAATGATACAAACAGCCTATGCATGCATGCCATAGGTTTGCCACCATTGGTATATGGTATCTTTCATATGGAAAATAAACGGTATTCTCATGAGATGAGAGTTCATAAGAAAATGAATTATAATGAAGTAAAAACATTAAGTCCCTCAAAATGAACAAAAATACACTTTTAAAATATAAGTTAAACAAGTGAATGAAAAGAATATGCACTATTCTAAGAATAAAATTACTATAGTATATTAGAATACAGTACTAGAAAATATGTGTGTGTGCATATATATGGTTAAAATATACAATTAATATTACTAGCAAGAAAAAAATCAAATGTGTATAATAGAAAAAACTAAAAACCTGATTAAATTTTAAAACCTAAAAATAAATATCTATTCCAGGGCTGGGAATTTAGCTCAGTGGTTTCACTGCTTGCTGCACAAGCGCAAGGACCTGAGTTTGATCCCCGGTACCAAAAAAAATATATATATATATCTATATATATATATATATATATTCCAAATCAGAGAATATATGCTACTACAAAGAAGTCAAAATTTGTATCTTCACTTTTATAAAAACAATATCACCATTTGCAGGGGGAAGAAGTACTTTAATTATCCTCAGGGCTAGCCAAAGGAGGCTTAAATATTACAGGTCTATACTACTTCATATTACAGATTACATTATGTGTATATTAGATATATAAATATATATAGTATGTATAGATGTGTGCATGCATGTATATAACTGCTTTTAATGCTTGTAAGGGACTCTACCTCTAAGAATGAAGTTCAATACCCTGTTAATGTCCCCTTAAAGCCTATGAAGTAGACTAATGTTGACTTACCCTTATTTTACTAACAAATTACCTTATATACTGGAGACATTCAACACTAACCCTTAACCCAAAGTGGAGATGGCATACTTACCATATCCTTTGTTGAAGACATCCTTGGCAGCCTTTCCTAGGTCACAGTAAGTTGGTGTGTTACACATATCTTATAAAGAAAAATGGAGACAGAGGAATAACCATTTAGTGTACATTCACGCATAACTCTCTACTCTTTCATCTTGTGAGGTGCTTTTTTTCCTTCCTTTGAATCACTGCAGTGTAACCCTAATGTAATCATAGTTAAGAGGAGGCACTCTTCTCCTTAAACAGCTTTCCAAAACACTGGAAAATAAAAAGGTTTACCCATGAGATTTCACAGAGATCAACTTTCTGATTATATTTTAAAGAAAAGAAAGTTTTCACAAGTTGAAAATGCTTTGTTAAACTAGACTTCTAAAAAAAAGTAAAGCAAAACTTACCTTACAAAAACCCTGGCTATACAGCCAAAGAACTGTATAAAGCAATAAGGTAAATTTTTTGAGGAACTGTAAAAATATAAGCCATCAAAATCCTCCAGGTTAGTGTTGAGGAAGTAGTAGAGTGGCAGAGTATATGCTTAGTATGTATGAGGCCCAGAGTTCAATACCCAACACCAAAAAAAAAAAAAAAAAAAGGAAAATCTTCAGGGTTAACATTTTGCTGCTCTGAAACTGAATTCTTAAAATAAGTATTAGCATACTCACTGAAATATATTCATGCAGATAATGTCCTCTCTCAAATGTCCTCTTCTCTCAATGTCCTCTTCTTTTTAAAAAGTGTTTTAATTTTACACATGAACCAGAAACAGGACATTTCTACATGCAGTAATCTCCTTACCCTCCCCGCAAAAAGGTAAACCCTGAAGTTAAAGTCTTCAAACATCCAAGGTACCTTAACTTTGCAAACTGCCTATTCAGTATGCTCCGAACTTTTCTACTGCTAATATGATTCTTACATCAAATTCACCACGGGTACCAATAATACCTCTGCCCATTCCTCTGCCCTCTTTGTACAATGGAAGATCTTTCCCTACTGCGGGTTGCTATTCCTCTTGCAGACTCAAAAACCATTTCTAACCAATTAGGGAACCCTCTCAGGCAGTCCCATTAGTATGAATTTACTATCCTGTACCAGAAAACTCCAGCGTACCAGCTAGCCTGTTACAGTTACTAGACTAGACCATCTCAAACTATTTATTGACATGAATAAATTATTTATATCTAATCCAGCTCTTAATCTTGGCTTCTGCTAAAGTTTCGCCCATACCATCACAATTGAAAATATACCCATGATGTACTTAACTGGGAATTGATTTTTAACCTAAACTTTTCAAATAAAACAGACACTATGATACAAAGATAAGATGAAAGAGTACAGTAAAGATAAATGAGTGGTACAGATGTACTAACTTAAACCACAACAAAATGTTGCTCTAAGCTACAGGGTTTTGTAGTTCACTTCCAAAGCAATTGTTTTACAATTCAATCCTCTGTATTCAAATGATCAATTTTGTACTTCATACGTATTCCCTACTCCAATATGCTATTACTCTATGATCACAACTGATGCTGTTGAAATGTTGCCAGAAATCTATAATTTGGGAGTAAATATACAAGTGCAAGTACTACATATTCAAACAAATGTTTACAGCGTTAGTCTGTTTTTTCACACTGACAAGAGAAAACATACTCATGTGCACATCTAGGTCTTAACTACATTTTTAGTATTGTGCTGCTGTTTTTCAAAACAGGACTATATGCTTTTGCAAAAGTCGTCTAGCTGGTTTAATTTACTAACTGACATCGATTCTGCTCAGTTGAAGCTTACTTTTTCAGGCTCCTGATTCTTCTGACACAAAATGCACTGCTGGTATGATCAAGCAAAAATCTAGCAGACAGGGAGACTTCATGTCACTCAGGGTAAAGCTATCCACACGTTTCTATTATCTCTACCAGCGCACTTACAGCTGCAGACACCTACGTTGCACTGAGGCTGCGCCAGGCGCAGACAGGCACAGCGTTAACCAGGCGATCCGCCGGAACCCCCTTTGTTCCCCGCTTCTGCGTCTTAGACTGCACCCCCAGCATCCTCCCTCCGGCCACACCAAGGAGAAGTCTCGCCTGGGGCTGGGCGTCAACTCCTGACAGGATGGGGGGCGGGTCCGGGGCGCGGGTTTGGGGTCCGAGGACTGACTGCCTCTAGAAACCGACCTCCTCCCCGGCCTGACACCGGGAGCGAAGTCCGGTCCCCACTCGTATCACCTACCTCCCGCTGCTCCATCACCTGAGGCGGCGACGCCCTCCCTCCACGCTCCCATGAGCCCACCTCTGCAGGCCCGCTGTTATCCGACGGCCGGCCAGGCCCGTGCCGCACCACTCACCTCCAAACCCCGAGCCCGTCCGGCTCCGCCAGGGTAATGCTGAAGGTCTCCTTCGAGCCAACTCCGTCCGCGCCTGCGCAGCCTCACTCCTCGAAGCGGCGCCTGCGCGCCCCTAACTCCCCCGAGCGCGTCTGCGCCTTTCTGTGGCGCCGCAGTCGCGCCGCGGGTCTGGGTGCGGAGGGTCACGCACGCCGCCAACCGTCGGGCTCCTGTGCCGGCGTGCGCAGGAGGGTCGGGCGCGGGGTGGGGTACATTCAGGAGAGGAGAGTTGCTGTGAGGCTCCGGACCTGCAGCTTCCCTGGGAAGGTCTTGTTCTCGCGGGAACTCTTGGAGGACCCCTAGCTATTGTTGCTGTGGAGGAGCGCTAGGAAGGTGTTCAACTTGGATGTGGGTTTTCTCCGCTAATCGAGGCTGCTGCCTGGCACATCGTGCCCAAACTCCTTCTCTGGTGGAGGTCTTTGTGGGAATTTCGCCAGACTGACTAAAATTCAAGAATGTGAAGCTAGGCCATCACATGTTTCCCCAGATGGTAGGCGATTTATTCAAGATCATGCAGGTAGAAGGAGGTTGTAATTCAAAGGGGAGAAAAAGAAAGAGGAGGGAAAGATCTTTAGAGGAAAATATCAGTAATCAGTGTAGGAGAAATTTGTAGAAAGAGAAAATCACCACTCTGGAATCGCCATAGTAGTAATGGATTCCGGCAAAGTGATGTCTGAGGATGTTCCCCTGGCAAGGACACTGTCAGGTCCAGGAACTCAGCTTCACTGAGCGATCAAACTTCACACTGCCAGGAGCGAAAGACACAGGTGTGATGCCCAGAACACAAAAACACCGTTCTTGTCAGAAGTGTGATTTGTTTCTACTCACAAGGGCACAATCATAAATCCAGATCAAGGGACCTTCTGCAAAACTGCCCAATCTGAAAAAATACTAACTTTGTGAAAGATTAAGAAAAAACCTAGTGCACTGTTCTAGGTAAGGGACAAAGGAAAGACATGACACCAAAGGCAATATGTGATTCTAAATTGGACCCTGAATAAAAATAAAGCAGGTACTGAGGAACATTGCATTAGCATTTTAAGAATGTAAAGTTTTCTGAGGGTGATGTGTCTTGGTTATGCAGCAGTGACAGTGTCTTTTAGGAGATAGATGCTGAAGTATTTAGAAGTGTGTCTACAAATGGTACAGCAAAAAAGAGAAAAAAGACAAAGTGTATCTAGTGAATCAAGGTGGAAGATCTAAGTGTGTCTGAAGGATTCTGGAATCCTTCCAGGGAGTTTTCAAAATAAAAAACCAGGGAGGGAAAAAAATCCTACAAAGTCTGTGGTGATCAGTGTAAAATACAAATGGCTGCTTGAATCAGTAGGCAGATACTGTTATTTGCCTGTCATGTGTTAGGCATTTCAAGTTATTAAGAGATAGATAAATGGTCCTAAGGGACTCATAATGTAAGACTTGGACAAATATCTGCTGAATGAGGCAGAGTATGATAAATGCCATAAACAAAGCATGGCAACCTCATACCCTAAATAAAATGAGATTTAGAGTGAAAAGAAGCTGGATCTGTCTCGGCTCTGTCAACGCTGGTCTTGGCATGACCACCATAACCTCTATGCCTCAGTTTCTACATCTGTGAAACAGAACTAATACCTATCTTAGATGATTGTCTTGGATATTAAATGGTGTATTCATAGCCTATAATTTACCTGGCATATAGAAAAGGTTCATTAATAACAGATGAAGATTAATATGCTACAGGAGCTTCAGAGCTGTACAAGTACAGCCCAAATTTACTCATATGCTTCAATATTACGCATGACCTTGGCCTGTGCTTGGGCTCAGACCTGACTCTCTAGTGCCAAACTTCAAATGAGGACTTGGCCACACTCTTTCCTCTCCTGGTGTCCCCCAGATCTGTCTTTTGAAAGGACCTGACCACACCAGTCTCATGTCACCCTGCTGTCCCCCACACAAAACTAGTGAGCAGTGAACAAAAGCATGCAGGAGAGAGCAGCTGAGAAGGTAGCCCTCCCTGTTCCCAGTCCCTCTGTCCCTCTGTCCCTGCCGGGTTAGCAGGATCCAGATTAACATCACCAGGGCCGGGGATTTAGCTCAGTGGTTCCGTCGCTTGCCCTGCAAGCTCAAGGACCCGAGTTCGATCCCTGATACCAAAAAAAAAACAAAAAACCAAACAGATTAACATCACCATAGCAGGGTGGGCCATCCCCACCTGGGCTTTGGCCAGTCACATTTCCCCACCTGCGGTGTGATTTAAACCCTTCAGACATGTAGAAAGGACTTCCTCCATCCAAATCCTAGGAACATGGCATTCTGCTTCTATAAAACTGATAGAATTTTAGGACTTTAGCACAAGATAGGGACTAAACTGCTTCCTTTAGAAGTGTTGGTGAAGTGCTTGCTGTGTGCTCAGAGCTGGGATGTGAGGAAGCACCCCAGGATGTCAGAGTCCTACAGGACTTCTGCCACCCACTCAGTTCCAGCTAACCTGCTCATCTGCGCACATTGCCTTTTTGAGAGAAAAATCTCAAAGTCAATATTGTTTTACTTTCAGAAATTAAAAGAACAGCTGAGAACAGCAGCTCCACGGTGAAGATTTGGTAATTCACTGACCTCGGGTGCAAGAATAGAAGATTCTGAAGTCAGTGGTGTTATTTAATGGTTTCTTAAAGGAAAATGGCCACTCCTTGTTTTCAGATTCCAGAATTCTGAAGAGGCTTGAGGACCCCTGGCTTCTGTAGCAGTCAATGGCATCTTTGAAAGGAAGGAGGCACAAGCATGGGGTGGGACATCTACTACGAGGCTGCAGAGCACAAGGACACAGTGGGAGTAGCGCCTCACTGACCCTGGAGGAGCCTGGAGGAGGCAAGTCATTCAGAGCAGACACACATTGTGATCACAGACCACAATAAATCCACTTTGAAGGTCTCAACGAAAGGATCATAAATTTGTACAAAGATTTATCTTGAATAACCTCAGTGATTTAAAGTAGAAAAAAATGAAAAACAATCAAAATGCCCAACATTTTGAAGAGTCACTAAATACAATACATCCATGTTTTGGGTTATGGTTCAGCCATGTGTTCTGATAACAGTTGATGATGGGAGAAGAGGCTCAGATGGAAAGAAAGAGGAGGAAGAAACAAAGTGTGTGTATATAGTGTAATTCCAGTTATGGTGCGTGTGCATGTGCACGTGTGTTGTAACTTTAAGGAGAGGGAGCTGAATGTGTTGGTGCAACTCACCTGCAATCTCAGCAGTCTGGGAGGCTGAGGCAGGAGGACTGCAAGTTCAAGCCCAGTCTGGGCAACTTGGCCAGACCCTGTCTCAGAGGTAAAAAGGGCTGGCGATATAGCTCACTGTAACGGCTCTGGGTTCAATCCCCCATTATGAAGGAGAACAGGGGGAAGGGGAGGGGGAGAAGGAAGAAAGAGAAGACAGTGTGCGCCCCTGACGGGGGACAAGGGCTTGGGCAGGAGATGGCAGTGAGCAGTGGCGCCTAATCAAGGCTGGTGATGAGCTAGGGGTTGTCAGTCACGTATGTGCCGAAGGAGTGGGTGCGTGTGTGTGCATGTGTGTGCGTGTGTGTATGTGTGTGCGCACGCACGCGCCCCTGCACAGAGAAGATCTGGGGAATTTTTCCCAAAGTCTGAGGGTATTTTGTTAAGTCAGAGTATATGTCATTTTAAATTTTCTTCTTCGTGCTTTTCTGTATTTTCCAAAATTTCTAAAATTTAGGAACGCGTTTTTCTTGCGTACTTACGAATGCTATTTCTGGACTTGCTTTCACAAGGTGGGGAAGTACCTGGATTTACGAGGAAGGCGATGCTGTTCCGCAGGGATTTCCACCCAAGACAGGCGTGCGGGGCCTCCTGTGGGCTCTCGCCCCTTCGACCGCCAGGGAACGCCAGGAGACAAGGTGAGGCCAAGCGCTTCCCCGCTCCCAGCCGGAAGCCTCGCCTGCGTCTTCGCTTAGGAAGGGCATCGGACCGTGTGTGTGGGGACTCTACCAAGACTAGAGTCCGCCATGGCCTTCCAGAGGGCTCAGGTGTCTGTGGTGTTCTGAGGGGAAGCCTGTCTTCAGTGTTGCCCTGTAGGCACAGAAAGGGGGGCGGGGGCAGGGCATGGATAGAGGTCGCGCGCGCGCGCGCGCGCGCACACACACACACACACACACACACACACACACACACACGCATGTGACGCCTGGCCAGCACAGCCTGCAGCGGGCCCATGACTCTGTTCCAGGAGGGATGATTGGGGAAGATGAAGTTGACTGCTGCTGCAGGTCTGTGTGACCTGGAGCAGCAGCAGAGCTCTCTGTGCTTTTCTCTTTAGACAGTATGTGCAGGTGTGCTGCAAGCATTTCGAAGTCAGGATGGACTGCAGTTGGCAGTGGCCCAGAAAAGCATCTCTCTTGGACCAGAGAGGGCTATTCAAATCCTAGGCCTGTAGCTTACAAGCCCTGTGATCTAAGGCATGTTACTTCACCTCTCTGAGCCTCAGTGTCCCAGTTTTTAAAATGGAAGTCCCCAAAAGTAAACTCCTGGTCAACCAGGGCCCACCAGAAGAGGGCTTCAGCCAAGCTTTTTTTGGCCAAAGTTCTGGGTAGGCGTGGACCACATCGGGGTGAATTCCTGGGGCAGAGTGGCAAAGATTGCAACCAGTGAGTGAGTCAGTCACATCCTGACCCTCAGGAAAGGGAGGTAGGTCTCGGAGAAGACCTGAGGAGAGTGCTCAGCACAAGCTTTCCTCCAGGAGAGCACTGAAGGTGCAGAGCTCATGGGTGGCTACTAAATGTTTAGTATGCTGCTTCAAAGCTGGGCCATGGTGCAAGTATGGAACCCCAACTACTCAGGAGGCTGAAGCAGGAGGATCACAAGTTCAAGGCCAGCCTGGGCAATTTTTCTGAGACCCCGTCTCAACAACTACAAAAGGCTAAGGCTGTTGCTTAATAGTAGAGTGCCTACTTAGCATGCCCAAAACCCTGAGTCTATTCCCCAGTGCCAGAAAAATACAAAACAAACAAACAACAAGAAAAACTTCTTTAGAATTGGCACTTCAGGCAGTTTGGGATTTCTAATGCAATGGGATTCACCCCTTACTTTTGAGAGGGAAAAAACAGACCCAGTTTGGTCTACATCATGGTATCCAGGCCAAAACATGGCAGAATTTGGTCTCTTGCTGGGGAAGAGGCTGCAGACCAGGAAATTCCTCTTTTCGGGCTCCTCCCTGGCACCAGACCAATAGAGTATGCGTGATGTCCACCCCATGCCCCAGGCCACACAAGTTGCTGTGCCGTCTACATTCTTTGCCTCCCTCCATGGCCCTTCTGCCTTTATATTCCATGCTACTCAGTCACAGCTCTGGAGGGGCCACTACCCCAGCCTGGCACCACAGGGCCCAAGGAAGAGCTGACCATCAGCTTACCATTCCCCTCAGGGTCAAAATGCCACCACGATATCGTCAAATCCAAGAGAGGATCTTGAAAAGAACAAATAGGGTTAGCTGTAGATATGCAAAAGGAAGAAAAAATTAAGAGAAGTGAGGCCAATGAGAAAGACTGAGAGATGTGGGTGTAAGAGGAAGGCAATGACTTCATGGAAAAGAATGGGCTTCCTCGGTTGAGCAGATTTCTATCCTCCTGATGCCTCTCCCTCTGGTATGGTATTTACAATGAAGACAGTACATCAAAGTGAACTCTGGGGAAACACTTTGCTGTCCAAGTTGACATTTCATATGTGATAGATGCTTTCATATGTGACAGATGCAAAAAACCACAAGGCACTGGGGATTTACCTCAGAGGTGCTGCCACCTGCCTCGAAAGCACAAGGTCCCGAGTTCAATCCCCAGTACCAAAAAAAAGAACCACAAGGCAGAAGGGTTCTCAGAAAGTCAGCCATGATATAGCCTTAGAACATACATAACTATAATTCAGTTTAAAAAATAAAACATCAGCTGGGAATGGGTGCACATCTGGAATTCCAGCTACCTGGGAGGCTGAGGCAGGAGGATCACAAATTTGAGGCCAGCCTGGGCAACTTAGCAAGATCCTGTATCAAAATAAATAAAAGGCAGCTGGGGATACAGCTTGGTGCTAGACCACCCCTGGGTTCCATTCCTCATGCCTCAAAAACAAAATCTGTATGTACATGGCCATGTGGCCTGTAAGCTGCTGTGGGATGGACCGGGTTGTTGGTGCAAAGACACCCGGTCACAGAGTTGGGCAGCACCGGCACCAGGCCACTCACTGGCACATTGCCCTCCTTCCTAACCACAGAGGAGCCATATTTCCTGACCACTGTAGCTCCCTCCTCCTCTCCTTACCTTTCCAGAGTGTCTGTGTCAGCCCCAAGTGCTCCTGTGCTGGGGACATCAGCTCTGCTCCACTTGGAGAAGCAAGAGAGAGGAGGAGCCAGGATGAGGATGGCCTGCAGGGTTTATAAAATCACGAGAAATGACATCTAATTCTGTTTTAGACCAAAAACAGCAGAAGCTGTCCTTGAGGAAGGACTGGGAGAAAAGCTCTGGAGAGAAGGGGTCCCTTGGTCTGAAAAGTGCATCTTGCAGCTGGGCAGTGTGGGGTCAGGGCACAGAACATCATGTGTAACAGACCCCAAGATCAGGAGAAATGGAGGCTAGAAGCCAACAACCTTTCCAAGGCCACATGGTTGGTGAAAGAGGCTGGCCTAAGTTTCCCTGCTCTGGAGCTGTGGCACATCGCCATGAGGAGTGGCTCGCTTTACCTCCTGACCCCAGGTAACTAAATGGCAGCAGTTCCGTTGGCTCTGTGATTATGTCCCAAGATCTGTCTGCTCCCATCAGCACACCCCTCTCTCATCTCTGACTTTATTGAACATTTCCTGTGAGCCTCTGCCAAAGACCTGCTTTTTCAGTTACTTTGATTTTCTTCTAAGAAAAGCAAAATTTATGGAAATCAAACTGGTTTTGACACAAGAGCCATAACAAAGATTTCCACTCCCAAGTGAACATAAATCACCAGTTCTGACACCATGCCTTTGACTGAAGGGCAGCAGCTGTGAGGGGAACCTACAGGTGTGGCCCCCAAACACCAGCCTGCAGTTCTCACCCCAGTTGGGAGGCCCCTGGGGTGAGCTCAGACCTACAGAGCCAAAACCAGCATCTCAGGAATTTTCACTTCTGCTGAGCTTACTCAATAGCTCTCAGTTTTAGAGTTCCTTTGGTCCAGGTGTTCATTACAAAATTAAGATGATCAGCTTGAAGTTTCAGTTAATCTCTGCCAGGGGTATCAACATGGTGAGCTGGGGGCCAGAAGGCACAGGAGGGCTCCCTCTGTCCTCAGCAGGAGCAGGGCCTGGTGGTGACACTTGGCAAAGCACTGGGCAGTGCAGGGCTGTGGGTGCTAAGGGATTCTTGCTGAACGAGTTCTGCAAGTCCTTCGTGGCCATGTCTGCAGAGAGGACAAAGAGGAGGTGGCTCACCTCACAGTGGCCTGGAAGCAGAGACCAAGAGCAGAGAAGAGAAAGGTTTTGTGTGTGTGTGTGTGTGTGTTGGACCCAGGGGTTTTCCACTGAGCTACATCTCCAGCTTTTTCTTTTTCTTTTTCACTGTTTCAGACCAGGTCTTGCTAAATTTCCCAGTCTGGACTCAAACTTGCAATCCTCCTGCCTCAGCCTCCAGGAGTGCTAGGATTATAGACATGCACCACCAAACTCAGCCAAAGGTCCTCTTTAAGCAGAAATATTTTTAAAGCTTTCCCCTTCCTCCCTTAGCCTTCCCTGTTCTCCTCTTCCAACTGCCTCATTGCATCTCGTCCCCAAATAACTGAGATGCAGCTTTGGACTGGAAATGTTGCCATGAGGGCATCTCATTTTGCTGGTTGCTCCCCCACAGAGGAGCACTGTGATTGTCCACAGGCAGTCATGGTGGGTTTGAAAAATTATCCAGTCACTTTCCAGGGAGAATTTAACCTCACCTACCCACTATCATCCAGAGTGCTCTGCCTTGTAGAGGCAGAAAGTTGTCTTCTTTGAAAATGAGGCCAGGATTAGGGGAGTGGGTCCTTGGGGAGCTGTATTCAAGGAGTGTCTGTGGAGGCCTTGCTGGGGACTGTGGGGCTCTCACCTTTATCCTGGGTCCTAACTGTTCAACTTTGTTGTGGTTAGAGTTTGCAAGGGAAATAGATTTAATACAGGACACATAATTTATAGAATTATTTTATCATAGTCACCCAAAAAGTCAAATGCAAGATATCTAACCACACACTAAAGACCCAAAGAATCTAACCAAGGGCCTGGATCCCATAGCAGTGTCCCCCACAAGTCCAGCTGAAGCCCTAGAGTCCAAGGTGATGTCCTGTCTGAGCCCTAGTGCCCTAGACTCCGCGAGTCCAGTGGCCTAGAGCCCACAGCAATGCCTCGTGCTTGTCTGTATAGAGGATCTGCACCCAGAAGGCCCAAAGGTCACTGGTGGAAGCCAGAAAACCTGCTCCATTAGGGTGAAGGATTTGTGCCACCAGGCTGAGGGCTCTACATTGGACCCAGAAAGTGAAGCTCACGTTGAAGATCAGAGCTCCCCTGATGAGAATAGCAGCCATTCCAGCAATAGCGAAGCCCTGAGCTCCTCTTCCAACTAGAACAGACACATTTGCATCAGGAAAACTGAACACAGCAAGCTTGTCCTAGAAAAACAACAGCCAATGATCTTCCCCTCCAGTTCTCTTTTTATGCCAATTGGCAACAATCCTCAGGTGGGTCTTCCATGCCCAACCAGCTGATTCAATTCAGCTGAGCGTTCCAAGTTGCTCATTAGTTAATCCACCACAAATTTCAAAACAAATTTGCAGCATCTCTACCCAGCAGGCTCGTCACAGTATAAGGGGCATCTCATGTCAGTGTAAGTGATGAAAAACAGCACTCAGGGGAGAAGGATCTCCCACTGTGCCCTAAGCAGGACCCCAGTGGACCAGAGCCAGGTAGCAAAGACGCAGACAGCCAACAGTGCTCAGCAGTGAGACGCAGAGAGTGTAGCCCCATGGCGGAGCATTTGTCTCCTGTGTCCAAGTCCTGAGGTCCCATCCCCAGCACCCCGCTTGGGTGCTGAATACAAGATGATATCCAAATACAAGACAATGCACTGATGTTAGGTTGTCTTGCAGGAAGACCCAGTAAAACTAAGATTTCCACTTACAGCAGAGGGAATCTGCCTTTTTAGATGTTAAATAAAACCTTACATCCTTCACGTATTGTGAGGGGACAATGAAAACAACGAAAAAATGAAAAAGGAATTTTGGACCCAGATCTAGATTGTTCTACCCTTAAAACACTTGAGGCCAATTACTTGGCTTCTGTTGTCAGCCTGGTAGGGTAAAAACAATCAGACTACCAGGCCCAGTGGTTCATGTCTATAGTCCTAGCTGCTCAGGAGGCTGAGGCAGGAAGATCACTTGAGCCCAGGAGCTCAAAGCCAGCCAGTTGAATGGGCAACATAGCAAGTCCCTGTCTCAGAAACCCACTCACACACAAACAAATTAATAAATATCAGACCAAACAAAGGGGAGTGAAGCAGAAGTTGTAAAACATTCAGATTAGGACAGGTAATGCTTGTTAGTGTTAGAGCACTAGCCTAGCATCCTGAGTTCCATCCCCTGTGCCGCCCCCAAATCCGGAAATTGGAAAGCTATACAAATTAAATGTGTTGCTCCTAAAATGAATTCAAAGCTTCCTACTGAATTGTACAAATCTGTATAAAACAGGCTTTCTGTGGTTCTCCTCCATCCAAAATGTGTTTCAGATTTATTTAGAAATCTAAAACCTATTTATTTAAAACCTATTTATTTGGAAATAGGATTTTCGTGTATCCTAGTATGGTCCTCCTAAAACATCCCCAGGTCCAAACAGTTCCCTTCTTTGTCGGCGCGCGGTTTCCCGCTGCCCCTGAGAGCAGGTGCGCTGGTCTCACATCCGGATGCAGAGGTGATCTGAAGCTCTTCCCGCCTCTGCCTTCGCGGTCTCAGGTGGCTTAAAGCTTCTCGCCGACTTGGTAGCGTTAGTTTCTGGTATCTTCCACCGCATATCGGCCAATACGACCGACTCATCCCTTCTCTGAACACAGCTGTGAGGACAGATTTCAGCGCGCCTCTGGATTAGCGAGGTCGGAAATGCAGGTAATTACCGGCCGCCTTTGATACCGGCATTCTGGCCCCAGCCCTTTGAACTGACTTTGATATGCAATAATTGGGGGGATTCGCCCCTGGAGGCGAGAGGCGGCTCTGCCTCTCCTCCACTGAGCCCTTGTTTTGAACTATTGATCAAACGGGTCTGGAAGATTTGTCGGGGCCTGTGTGCGGGGAAGGAAGGAAACGGGGTGGGGGGGCGCACTAACTATAACAGTCCCGGCCGGTGGCCGCCGGAGCAGCACGGGACATGCGGGGCGCCGGGGCGGCGCTGGCGGTCCTGCTGGGCCTCGGCGGGCTCTGTGCGCCGCTGGGCGCCCTGGTCCTGGACTTCAACAGCATCAAGAGCCCTGCAGATGCGCAGGGCGCTCGCAAGGTCGGTTCGGGGCTCGAGGCTGGGGGGCGCGGGGGCGCGCTGAGCGGTCTGGGGCTGAGGGGCAGAACCCAGTGGCTCAGCGCTGATAGATTTTATAAAAGGACAAAGTGTTTCCAGGTCGTCTGGCTCTAAATTGCCTACAAACCCGGGATTAAACTGACACTTAGAATGCTCCGCTAGGTGCCACATCGTTAAACAGTAGCTCGTTTAATATTCTCCACAATTTCAGGCAGAGATCAGGCTTCCTGATTACAGATGAAGAAAATTTAACCAAGGCCGCACAGCCAGTAAACACAGGAGTTAGTTTAAACTCAGAGCGACGTGATGCCTTGTCATTGTCACCAACACTTCCCGGAGCAGACTCAGAGATCACCACACACTTGTTATACTGTGTCTGTAGGCACAGTGTGTGAGTACCTAGCATACATAGTATTATAGTATAAAGTACAGATACACTGTGTCTAAGATGTATGAAGGGCATCAACTGTGGACGAAAAAGCTCGATCTTTGCCACCCCTTTTCCCTACAGATGAGTGACTGCTGAGATCAAAGGTTGACTCACTGGGGAAAGGTCATGGACGGAATAGATGCAGGGGCTGATGTAATTTATTACAGCAAAAAATCCAATAGAATGCTACAAACTCCAGCCTTGTACTCCATCGTATTGTAGCACAGCTTCTGAAGTTCATAGACGTGTTTTAAAAGTCACATAGGAGACATTTTCCAAAGAACGTTAGAAAATTAAACTCGAGTTTTCAGAGTAAGATACTTCTTCACACAGAGCTGGCAGCACCGAGGTCTCTGCTCAGGCATACGATCTCTCCTGTGTGAAGCCGGTGACAGGGACACGGGGAGATGCTGCTTCTCCGCCCCTGAAGTCACCTTTATCTCGCTGGACGCTCCAGCATTGAGACGCGGTTTTCTTCACAGGGTTCGCCGTGCATGTCAGACAAGGATTGCAACACCCGGAGATTCTGCCTGGCGCCGCGCGAGGAGCAGCCGTTCTGCGCCGCGTGTCGCGGGCTGCGGAGGAGGTGTCAGCGCAGCGCCATGTGCTGCCCCGGGACGCTGTGCGTGAACGGTGAGCTGCCGCCCGCCAGGGTGTGGTGACACAGGCACTCCCCAGGGCTGTTGGAGTTGAAATGGAAGCGCACTTGTGCAGCTCCTTTTCTTTTTCTTTTTGTTTGTTTTTGTACCGGGGATCGAACTCAGGACCTTGCGCTTACAAGGCAGGTGGTGGCACCATTGAGCTAAATCCCCGGTCAGCAGCTCCTTTTCTTGAGGACACAAAATCACTTACTGGCGGTAACGATTTTAAAAGAAAGACTCCCATTGGAACGATTCCAACCCTTCCATTCTCACTTGGGTTCCACTAATCACTTATCTTCTTTGCCATAGGTGAGCATGTAAATAGCTAGGGCATGAAGATTATATATAATGAGCAAGCAGAGGTGCTGCCAAAATGCCTAACAGAATAAGTAGTATGTCCGGCTCTGCTCCCTCAGGTAGTAACTTGTTACCCCCAATTGTCCCTCAGACGTTTGTGCTACCATGGAAGATGCAACCCCGGTGCTGGAAAGGATTGATGACCCAGATGGCCTGGATGCCACAGGAACAACTGAGCATCCAGTTAAGAACAAACCCAAAGGGAAGCCAAATATCAAGAAATCACAAGGCAGTAAGGGTAAGAATAGCATAGTGGGCACATTTTGTTTAAGGAAAACAGTTCTCCCACCTTCTCAAAGATAGACTGAGACCAACTTTCTGCTTCTCCCTCCCAGAAACACACAGGGAGTTTGTCCAGTGTGATCTCTGTGAGATGATGCAGAGATGTGTGTGTGTGTGTGCTAGTCCAGGCCAAGAAGATAGGGAATCACTGTAATTAGGGAACTAAGCCAGAAGCGCTTTCACTGTTAGCTCAATTACACGCACACACATACAACCATTCTACAGTAAAACTGTAATTTTAGCAAGTCACAGTTTTCCTTCATAGATCCTTGGGATACAAAATAGAGAAGTAGATGCATTAACTTTTCAGCTTTGTACAAACTAAGATTTAAAAAAAACAAAAACAAAATTGTAGTCTCAAATTCCAGTCTGTGACACAACAGAGCCAAAGTGTTTGAAAGAGGTGACCATTTTTTTTTTTTAATGTCTTCAGGTTAACTGGGCTCTTTATAAGTAAAGATGTTTCCATAGCACTGTAAATCCCACTTAATAAATCATTGCCATTGTGACACTAATTTCTCAAGCCTGGAAATCCCATCTTTCCTTGAATGTTTTAACTTTGTAAGACAGACAAATCCTGTTATGTAGGGCTAGAATTTCCACTTCATTATTGATTTTACTGTAAGGCCCATCTCTATGGTTCCTGGTGGCTGTTTTCATTTTTACCTTGAGGCCTTCAGTCCTGGATCCCTGATCTCACTCCATTAGCAGCCCCCCACCCCCACCCCATGCAGTTTTCCCCATTGAAGCCTATATTCATCTTTTTTCTTTTTTTTTTGGTACCAGGGATCAAACTCGGGTCCTTGGCTTGCGAGGCAGGTGGCAGAACCACTGAGCTAAATCCCCGGCCTTCATATTCATCTTGTTACAGGACAAGAAGGAGAAAGCTGTCTTAGAACTTCTGACTGTGGCCCTGCACTTTGCTGTGCTCGTCATTTCTGGACTAAGATCTGTAAACCAGTCCTATCGGAGGGACAGGTCTGCTCCAGGAGAGGCCATAAAGATACTGCACAAGCTCCAGAAATCTTCCAGCGCTGTGACTGTGGTCCTGGTCTGTCATGTCAAAGTCAGGGCAGTCGGCAACACACACGGTTAAGAGTGTGCCAAAAAATGTAAAAAGCCATAAACATTTCAGAATAAAGAAGAATCTTCATTGTATTCAAGCAGAATCTCAGACACTAACTTTAAAGTACTTCCATACAAATATCTCTTAAAATCAAATTTTCTAGCAACAGCAATAGACTTAACTAGAGAATTATGAGATGCTGTATTGCGAGGAATGGAAACTAGATTTGGTTTTTTTGTCTTATTACTTCACAAAATGAATGTGATTCCATAAGAAAAAAATATTAATTTTGAACTACTTATAGTTCAAATAAATCTCTTTTAATAGTTGCATAAAATGTACAAGTGTGATGTTTTGATATATGTATGGTTAATTACCACAGTCAAGCTAATTAACATATCCATCCCCATAAATCTTTAAGTCATTTCTTTTTCTTTTCTTGGTACCAGGGATTGAACTCAGGACCTTGCACTTGTGAGGCAGGTGCAGTGCAACTGAGCTAAATCTACAGCCCTTTAAGTAATTTCTGATAAAGGGCTAGTACCTGACAGTGTCTTAGTACCTGATATTACAAATAAATGAACTCTTGTAGCTTACCAAGTTACCAAAATTATCTCAACAAATATAAAATTACCTCAACAAACACTATCTTTTTTTTTTTTCCTTAAAAACTTCATTGTTTATTTACTTTCATTTCTTGGAAGCAAAATCACATTTCACTACAAAATACAAAATAATTTGGTTACTGAAGAAAAAGATTCAAAGGTAATGTTAAGTTTAGATAATCCTTTGTAAGCTACAGAGCATTTTCACATACTTTGTTTTCAATAACTTTACTTACCAGTTGATAACTTCTTATATTTTACATCTATATACTTTATTTATTTATTTTTGGTACCGAGAATTGAACTCGGGTCCTTGCACTTGCGCAGCAGGCGTTGAAACCACTGAGCTAAATCCCCGGCCCCAATTTATTTATTTATTTAGGTACCGGGAATCGAACTTGGGTCTTTGCACTTGTGCAGCAGGCGGTGAAACCACTGAGCTAAATCCTCAGCCCTACTTTTTATATTTAAAAGCCAGGGCTTTCCAGGAGTGTTTTGACTTAAACATATTTTGATCATCCAGGTAAAAGTTACCTGGAAGAAAACTTAGAAATGAATTTTTTGTTAGTTTAAAGTTTAAGAGGCCATACTGTGTGCATATTAGAAGTGGTTTTGTTCAGGGAAGTTGATGGATTTCAATCATCAAACACCTGTTCTATTTAAGTTATACATATATATTACAAAATAGACTATAAGCCAAAGAAAAAAATTAAATTTTTGAAGATTACTAGTTTCTAAAACATCTTTCTAAAACCAGAGGCTAGCCTCTGGGTATACCTTGACTGATTAATTTGCAATCAGCAGGCAGGGAAGGTAGTGGAGTAATATAGTTTATAGCATATGGCAGAAAATTAGGAAATAAAAATTTCCATTAAGATTTGCTATCATAGGGCCAGGGATTTAGCTCAGTGGTTCCAGCGCCTGCCTTGAAAGCACAAGGTCCCAAGTTCGATTTCCAGCACGAAAAAAAAAAAAAAGATTTGCTATCATCTCATCTCTTATTTCTCACTCCTACACCCACAGTAAAGTATGATCAAGAACATAAAATTTAAACACATTTGCTAAGAAAATAAGAACATCATCATCTAATAATAGTGAAAGAGGCTTTATTGAAGGCTTTTTTATTAAGGCAAGCTAAGCATGAAGGAGAAATAAAGTTAAAAACTCTAAACACTCTTACATAGCAAAGAAATAAATTAAGACTTCTATTGGGCTGTGCCTGGGAGGGAGAACAGTCTTCATTCGCTTCGATCCTTGGGTTCTCGGTATTTCCACTGGATGTAATCAAAGATGTCTTTCTCACTGTCCACTGGCAGGGGTTCTCCAGCTACTCCTGCACATACAGAGAGAAAGAAACTAATTTTAAAAACCAGTTGTGGAATCTGGCTACAGAGGTTTCTATAGAGAACTGAGAGTCATGTGGGGCTTGCTTTCAGAAGAAAAAGAAAATGGTTACCCGGCGAGGGTGTGCTTCAGTGGCAGAGCTCTTGCCTAAGGCCTGGGGTTCTACCCCAAGCACTACAAAAAAAGAAAAGAAAGAAAAAAGAAAACAGTAACCACACCAGTAAAACACTTGTACACTGATTGCCCCATCCTCCACTGGAGTTTGTGTCTGAGCTATGTCACGTTTTCAGTGCTGTGCACATCCCAATGATGGTCCTGGAAGTCACCTTCGTCCATGATTTTCCTCTCCCCTGGGTCCTTGCTATGTTATGTATTATATAAAACACTCTTGGTTCTGGACTGGCACCACTGATGTGACTTGGGAGCTTCACAGCAAGCCCCACTTAAGAAGCCCACAGAACACAGAATCTGCCTCCACCAAGGACCCAAGTGAAAGTGGACACATGATGAATATGAAAAGCACCACCCTGCTCTACTGCAAGTGGAAGCTCTATTTTATGCTTTTAGAACAAAAAAGCAAACATTCACTCTCCTAGCAAAGAATAATAAGCCACATGGTACATTGTAAAATGTTAAAAAGATCCATAAGGCATCAATTCAGAAGTCCATATTCTTTAAACTTTAAAGCTTGGGGCCACAGTTGCCCAGTTTTGTTTCATTTTGGTGTTGGGGATGGAATCCAGGGCTCTGCATGTACTATGTGAGAATGTGCTCTACCATGGAGCTACACTCCTATCCTCAGGTACTTGGGTCTTAAGTAGAACTAAAAGCAATGGTACTTCAGTTATTCAGAAGTCTTGCAGATACAAATATTGGGGTTGAGGATTTAGCTCAGTGGTTCTGCCGCCTGCCTCGCAAGTGCAAGGACCCGAGTTCAATCCCTGGCACCAAAAAAAAAGGAATTAAGTCATTAAAACAAATATTGGTCTGTTAGACCAATAAAATCTTTGAGCATTCATTCATTCATTCATTCATTTAGCAGTATCCAGGGCCTTCTCACTGAGTCCTTTTTAAAATTTTGAGATAGGGTCTTGCTAAGGGACTAAGTCGACTATGCCTCAGCCTCCCAGAGTGCTGGAATTACAAATAAGCATGCATCACCATATCTGACTGACCATAAAAGACTTTTTAATGACAATCATATGTAGAAATGGACTTAATTCATTTTAATAGAGCTAGATGCCTTAATAGCCATGCTTAATAGCCATCAATTAAGGGCCTGGATGTACCTCTTACTGTAGGAGGGACAAAAAAATATAAAGAAACAACAATTAACACCAATTAACTGGCATAGTTATTAGAAAGCTTTTTAGAGAAAATAAATTTGCTAGCCTAAAATATCTTGGAGAGAACTTTCTCTCCAGATGGCAGAGACTATCTCTAAGGTAAACAACACTCACCAGTGACTCCCAGGGGACGGATAGTGTATTCATTGATTGTGAAGCCCTGTTCTAGGGCATGAGCTCTCATATTCTTATTGAAAATATCACTCCCAGTGAAGTAGAGAACACCACAGTAATACTGATCTTTGGGAATCAACCTACAAAAATATAGGCAAATATTTTATACAAATTTCAGATTTAGCAAATATAGGACCCCTAAAATCCAAAATGAACAAAATACAGTACCTAAAATAAGTCTATCTAATAGCCTGAAGAGCACATTATTGTTAGGTTGACCATTGGAAGCACCCAACCTTGCAATGTCTTTAGGTTTTGGAAAATTTGGCTCTGCAAGAAATGTGCAGCAATGAAAGTATCACTTATTACATGAACTGTCCTTACCCTGAAACTACTTTTGAGCTGTGGAAGGCGTAACTATGAGGTGGAAGTCTAGAGAAAGAGAGTCTATAGATTATCATTCTTTATATATTTCAGGCTAAATATTATTTTTGGTAGGGACATATGACCCTTCAGAATAAAAGGGGCTTGGGCCAGGGATTTAGCTCAGTGGTTTCGCCGCCTGCTGCGCAAGCGCAAGGACCTGAGTTTGATCTCCGGTACCAAAAACAACAACAACAACAACAACAAAAACCAGAATAAAAGGGGGGGAAAGGATTCAAGGGGGAAAAAGCTGATGATAAAGTCTGAGTAATACCTGATATCAATTCTTCTGTGTGGATATTCCTTTTCATCATTTTTACTGGGAAGTTGGCAAACACCCTAAAAATGGACATTTTAAAGAATGTTTAAAGAGTTTTTCAGACTTAGTTTTAATCAAATTTTGAGCATGAGGCTGCTTTTGTCTTTTACAGTGGCTGTTTCAGAATTCTAAGCATTTCAACTGAGTAGCTTCCCTACTTACCACTGCTTTCCCATTGTACTTCATGATAATTAGAGAACTACATGAAACAGCAGACAGGGATTCTAGTTATAAGAGTTTGGCCTTTATGCAATTCTAAACAAGAAACTAGTCAAGGAAAGCATCAAACATGAAAAGACAGAGACAAAATACCATAGAAAACAAACACTTAGGAAAAGTTTAAATGAGATAGCAGAAGTAGAAGAGTTTGAAGAAATATCTCAGAAATGTATGTGAAAGTAAGAAAGAAAATAAGAACAATTAATTTAAAAGATAAGAAAATGAGAGGATCATTTTCTTTCTTCTCTATAGGTGAGTTTTCATTATACTTCTACAGTTTTCAAACAAAAATTATCAGTCTTACTTGTCATTTTTTCCCTTTCCAGAAAAATAGGCAAAATTTCTGGGCTGGGCAGCAACCCATACATTTGTGAAAATAGCTTACAGATATCACCAAACTTCAAATTAAAAGTAGCTAATGCCTTTGGAGGAAAAATACACAAACGACAGGCTTCTGAGCCCAAGGAGTATCAAATTAATACACACATCACTAAAAGCCATACTTTTTCACTTAACAAAATAGAAAAATTAAAATAATTTTATTATTATTTTAAAGTTTTTTGGAGACTGGGACTGTTTCTATTCAATACCACCTTCCCAGTCCTACCATCCACCACCCTGCTTTCTGGATGACTGGCATTTTCTTTCACAACCACCTTTTCCAACTTTTAGCTAGCACAGTCAAGTCTGTGCACTCTGAGACTCTTCAAATTATCAGCAAGTCCACACCTCAGAAGCACAGTCCTCTTCCTGTCAGTCACAGAACTCAGGAAAAGTGGGACAGACAGCCGAGATCCAAAGGAACCATTGAAATTAAGAACAAAGGTAACCCTAAGAAAACTCTGGAGCCTAGATTCTACTGACTTCCTGTGGGTTACTACACGGGACCATTTTTTAATCTGGTTTTCTTCACTCACCTAGAAGTTTTAAATCTCAGTGCTGTAGGAAATCCACTGGATTCTGACAGGCATCTCGACACTTTATTGGGCAAGCCTGGGCCAGTGCCCCCTCTCCCCTCTCCCTGTTATCTTTCCATTAACATGGTTCTTCTGGGTGTTGGGTTATGGACCTTGATACCTCCTCCCTCTTTGGTGTTATTACTCTTCAGTCATTTCTAACTTCACTGAAGAATTCTTAGAGAATACAAGAATGATTTGCTATTTTCAGGAAAAACTGCTGTGTCAAAGTCATTGTGGATTTTTTTTTAAAAAGCAAATTATGTTTAATTATTATTATTATTATTTTTTTTGGTAGCAGGGATCGAACTTGGGTCCTTGCACTTGCGCAGCAGGTGGTGAAACCACTGAGCTAAATCCCCAGCCTATGTTTAATTATTCATTTTGATAGTATACTTACAAAGGGGAGTTTAAAAGAAAATTCTTTACTAAACTATCCTAAGAGTGGCTCTGAGATTCAGGAACCCTGCTAATTATCTTCCCTTTGGTCTCAGGGCTAGCCTCTTTGTTGACTGTAATAGAAAGCACAGTGAAGTCACAAACTCAGATGGTTACTGAACAGTCTCCAACAGTTTTTTAGAGGTGTTAACTCAAATGAGAACTCACCATAAACTTGGTCTCACCCTTTGACAGAGTATCTGTAATAAAATGGATCTTTTGTAATTGCTCCACGACATGATGTAATAGCTTTGGCTGCAGAATCATAATCCGGGAATAAAAGAAAAGAGCAGTTACCTTGCTATGGTTTAAAAAAAAAAAGTAAAATAAAATAAAAACAGAACAAAAAAACTTTTTGGGGGGGATACTGGGGATTGAACCCAAGGCCTTATGTTCTACCAGAGTTCCAGTGCTAAAAAAGTAATTTTAACATGAGTTTTCAGATTTTCTACAGAGAAATCTTTATGTTGGTTTCTTTTTTTGGCTTTTGGTTTTTTTCTTTCTCATGCTGGGTATTGAGCTCATGATCTCTCACAAGTCAGGCAAGTGCTCTGCTCTGAGCTACACTCCCAGACCTCTTTGTTCTTTTTAATATTCTTAGTAAGTACCTTTCCCCTCTAACAGAAAATTCATCTTATCAGATGAAATATATTTTTAGAAACCAGTTTTCACCAATCTCATGATATCCTAAGACAAATATAATTTGTGTTTATGTTCTATTAAATCAAAGAGCTGCTTCACTGTTAATGGCATATATACTCTGAAATCAATAGTGTTTTTGGCTTCCTGAGTTTTCTAATAAAAATAAGGTTTCTCAGGGGAAAAAAAGTCATTTCTCAATACTTTATTTAACAGAAAAAAATATTCCCTTAATAAAAATCTGAATATTACACTGAATATTTCTGAACTAGCTATGGTAGAAAGTATAAAATCATGAAAATACTTTATTAAATGTCATGTCTTTCAAATGTTAGACTGTCTTCCCAATTCCTCCAAGAAAAATCATATATATCCCTTTCCAGAATTCAGTCAGTCAGAACACTGCCTTTTCAGAATGATTAAAATAAACCTTACTGTGAAAATGCCCAAGTATCATTTAGGAAATGGTATTCACTGCTGTGTTAAAACTAATTACATTCGATTATAAACTCTGAGGTACCTGTTTGCTTGATTCTGAAGTGAAGTCTGGATGGGTCAGAAGAACATCCATGTCACCACTGGATTCTGCACCTATGACACCAAAGAATACACATGGAGCTCTCTGTGTAAATTTATCAAGTAGGCCAACACTGAGCTAAACAAAGGGTGCACAGAGAAGAGCCTTACTTCTTACAGCCTTCTACTGCACTGTGCTTCATATTCAGAATTACTTGAAAATTTCAATTTTCTAATTATGAAGGCATATTGATAGACACCACAATCTGAACAATAACAGTAATTAACATTAGATATAAATTGCAAACAATTTATTAATCTGTGTTAAAATTTACCTAATCACTCGATAATAAAAACAATAGTTAGAAACAGCTTTAAAATACATCTATGAATGAGATAGCTAAAAATCTTAATATGCTGTAACTCCATAAAAGTTAATCAGAAAGCTTATTTTAATTCTTATGACTGAATTCATTTAATAAATATTGGTAAAATTACTACACTGGTATCATAAGTGGATAGGAACATAGAACTTTAAAATGACTGGGGCTTTGGTTTTAATCTTACAACCATGTAACTTCAGCAAGTTATACACAGCTGTTTGAATCTTATCATAAAATTTTGCCTCCACTTAGTTTTTTTTTCCACTTTAAACTCTCCCCACCCCAGGACTGCAAATAAAAACCCTACATTCCTCTAAACTTCAGTGTCCATGTCCATAAACTACTGAAAACGGTATCTGGCCATTGTGGACCTAAACAAGACCATAGGTGAAAGCATCTAGCACAGTGCCTGGTACACAGCATAATCTGTTTCCTCTCCTTCACACTGATCAGTGCAGTGTCTATTAAGTATCTACTTAAGGTGGCCACAGTTCTTGTATCACCACTACACATCAACAATCTTTAACAATTACAGTCATCTGCCCTGGTCTTCAGAGGATACCTAGACTCCCAGCAGATCCCTGAAACCACAGATAGTACCAACTCTTCCACATGGTGCACTTTCCATCCTAACTGAGCACTTTATCACACTGTGGCTACAGTTTTTGCAATTTGAGGTGGGATAACAAAACTAGCACGGATTTCTTTTCCTTCTTCACAATTTCATGGACAGAAGATTTGTTCCTACTATAGATCTTAGCAACCTGAGCATGCAAATTTTTTCCTTCCCTTATTAACTCAAGAACTTTTTTCCCCTTTTGACTTAAAAGGAAGCACTTTATTTAAAATAAAATTGGGGGGATACTGGGGATTGAACCTAGGGCCTTGTGCATGCTAGACAAACACTCTACCACTGAGCTACATCCCAAGCCAGGAAGCACTTTAAAGCTTCTGTTTGCTATCTCCAAGTTGCAAGCAGTGCCACTGTTGTGATGTAGTGCCATTATCAAATACAGTAAGGGTTACTTGAACACAAGCACTGTGGACTACTAATCCCCAGACATCTGATCCTAGTCCCTGAGACAGGTGCTAAACAACCAGCAGGAGGCAGCATATCCAGGTCAGAGGTGCTGGGCAGAGGGAGGATTTATCCTGGGCAGGAGAGTGGGAGATTTCAACACACTGCTCACAACAGTGTGCAATTTAAAACTTGAGTTGTTTATTCCTACAATTTCCCATTTAATATGTTCAGACTGGTTGACTTTGAGTAACTGAAACCTCAGAAAGTAAAACTATGGATCAGTGATGGACTACTGTATTTAAACATAATGAAGACAAGACTGAATGTATACTGATCCTTGGACATCTACAGAAGCTATTTTCATAAAGAAAATTCTATTGTCTTTTCTTCTTTCTCCTAAAAGCTGAATGTCTTTTTATCATCTACCACCCACCACCAAAAATGTTTTATTTTAAAAATATAATAAACTATATTAGCAAAAAGAAAGAGAGCAAAAGAAAACAATCCACAGGTCCATTAATGAGGGACAGGGTAAAGTATGGTACACCCACACATTCAAATGCTATAAAACTAAACAAAAGAATAAAGATGATCTTATACACTGATATAGAAAGATCTCCAGAACGCATTTTCAAGTGAAAAAGTAATGGAGAATATTGTACATATACTATGGTATATTACTGGTGAAAAAAGGGGAGGGGTAAGCCAAGGATGCATAGTCATATTCAGTTGATATATTCATGCACAAAAAAGTGGTTATGAATGGGACAATGGCAGAAGGGAGGAAACAGAGTCGACAAGGTAATGTGAGACTTTGCAGCATATACTTTTTTTATATAGATGCATATAACATGCTCAATAATAAAAATAAAATAGAAATATATAAATCCAGGAAGGTTGTCATATCCAGTACAGCAGACATTTGGCTTGCTGAACATCAAAATTTAATTTTGAAAATAGAGATTCCAATTTCCCATTTAACAAGATTATTTAGTAGGTTTATAGCTGGGCCCAACTTATGTATATATTTTTAAGTTTCCCAGGTGTTTCTGATGCAGACATTATTGAATAACAAGTTAACACCAATCCTCTCATTTTGCAAATATGAAAACCATGACTTCACTAAAATCATACAATGGTGAGTAGATCTGGCCTCAGAACCAGGTCTTTTTACCCGATCCAAAGTTCTCTCTACTTATCGGCAACTATGGATTTCATTCTTTTCTTCTCCTCAACTCTAAATTCTCATAGCAGCTACTATGTGAGTTTTTCAAATAGCCCATCACCTACTTCCTAGCAAAACTCTATCGTGGCCATAGATGCAGTCCACATATCTACTGTATTTTAAAATGTTTCAAATAAAAATTTTCTATCCCAATCTCTTTTTTTCCCCACTTGGGATTGAACTCAGGCCTTTGGGCATGGTAGGTATGCACTTTTAACACTGAGCTATATACCCATAGCCCTAAAAGTTAATATTTTAAAACTTCTTTAGCCTTTCCAAATTTTAAGCCAGTAAGAGTCAGGCCTATGTGATTCACTTTGCTTGGACTCACACACTAAGTGGGGATCTGGTTGAAAAAACTGGTAAGTTTAAGAATGGGTTTTGAACAGTTCATGGAACACTGTCCAGAGAGGGTTGACTCAGAATCATGAGTATAATAAACAAAGCAAAATAGTGACATTACACAGACCATTTGTTTATATCAAAATAATAAACAAGAGTAAATGAATCCCATGACACAGGACCTCAAACACCCCTAGTTGCTGGGTGTGGTGGTGCACATCTGTAATCCCAGTACCTGGGAGGCTGAGGCAGTAGGATCCTCTGGACAGTGAGTTCAAGACCAAATTGAACTACACAGTGAAACCCTGTCTCAAATCACCAAAGCACGCTTAGTTATCCTCCGTTTATTCATGCATTCAATGAGTGTTTATTAGGTACCTAGGATATACCAGGTGGCACTGTGCTATTTGCCAAGTGACAGAGGTGAAGATGAAGGCACAGCCTGACCCGTGCAGGGCTCTCAGTGTCACCACACCAAGAATAGAGTAACAGTGTACTCCGAGCAGTGCTGGTGGACACATACAGCCATGGACTCTTGCTGTGGGGTCCTGGAGAAGCTCAGTGGGCTCCTCTTCTGCTTCACATGGATTGGTCCTGGTCTCTCAGTCCCAGTGATGCAATGACCCAGTGTGAGGACAGTCACAGCAGCCTAGAAACAGTTACTCCTGCAAGCGTACTGGGACACAGGTGTCCTGCTGGAAGTAGCTACAACTGGCAGCAGTCCAGCCTCACCCCTCCCTCATTCCTCTAAGAGTTCAGGGGCCACCTTGTATTACTCGCCAGACACAGGGCGCTCCAGGCACCACCCCTCCTCCCACCACTTCCTCCTGCAGGGTGACTTGCTTTCCATCATCCTTGGCAATTCCGGCAGAGAGGAAGCATCTGGGGGTGCTAGTGACTACAGGGCTTGACTCCTACATCCTGTGGTATTGGGGACATCTGGCCAAGGGTATTCAGAGGAGGAGTCTGGCCAGGTGTGGTGGTGGATGCCTGTAATACCAGCATTCAAGAGGCTGAAGCAGGAGGATTGCTGCAAATTCGAGGCCAACCTGGGCTACATAGTGAGATGCTGTCTCAAAAAACAAGAGGAGGAGCCCACAAACAGCACTCATACCCAGAAGTGCCAACTGCCCCTCTCCTTCCTCCCTGTCTCCACAAAGTATATTCCCCACATTTGCCAGCATGGATAAATTCCAGATGAGGGCCACAGCTCTGGGCTTAGACTCTATGTCAAGTTATGAAGTCATAACAAAGTACACTGTATGACTCCTAATCAGCCTTGCTGAATCCTTCTCACCTGGAATTATATCCTCTATGGCTGGTGGACACTCACAGGGAGAAAAAAGGAGGCCAAACCCCTTGCTCCAGCAATCCGTCCTTACTTGCTTAGTTAATGTGCATAATGTGTCAGCCTTGTGGCAGAAAGAGTGCCTAGTTCAGCTAAAAATCAGAGTATATTAGCTATAATTTATTAACTAAATCTTTAAGATTTGGGTCTATTATTATTATAAATTTAATTTTATAAATGCTCCTATAATGAAAAGAATAGTACATGGCCAGGCATGGTGGTGCATATCTGTCATTCCAGCACTTGGGAGGCTGAGGCAGGAGGATCACTACCAGTTCCAGGTCAGCCTAGGCTACACAATGAGTTCAAGGCCAACCTGAACTAGTTCGTGAGGCCCTATCTCAACAAACAAAATTACACAGTTCATCCTCTGAAAATGAAATTTTAAAATGACTATCCCCTGATTTTATTTTTTAATAAATACACCAAACTTAAATTTCTCATTTAGTGTATTTCTACAGATCACTCACACATAGACAAAAAACAAAAGACAAATAAAACCCTCCCCTCAAACCCTCAGAATCTGTACAAAAATAGAAGCTCTTCATTTTCTGTATCACCTTATCTTTTTTTGTGTATCATTTTGTTAATATGAAAAAAGTGTCTGCTTAGGAAAGTATAAAAACTGATACAATGTCACGTGCCCCAGACACATCCGATCTGGGCTGCACTGACACCTGTCCCTCCTGTGCCACTTCTAGGAACTGTCTGCAATGTGCGCTGAGCAAGACACAACTTTCCCATCCTCAGATGTCCACGTTCGTTTCTACAGATATCCTCAGGGTCACACACTGAAAATCTTGGATGAACATCAGGAAGTAGAAAATGAAACCAAAGGCTGCAGTCCACTCGCATATGGTGCTAACTAGGTGATACACATAATCCTTTTCTTTCGGATTCCATTTCAGCTTGGTGATGGAAATCAGGGAGCACAGGCAATCATGGGGAGGACGGCTGCATAGGACACCACAGAGATGGCCATCTGCACATGGCATTTGGACAGGCTGTTCCACTGGGGACAAGACTTGTAGGAGATGACCGACTGCAGGAGGATGTACATTATGCCACACACGAAGGCCAGCAGGGCGCCACCATCATGGACCACAGGCAAGGTCAGCTCTTGGAAATTGGCCACGATGCCCATCCCGATGCAGCCCACCAGGCCAAGGTCTAGCGACACCAGGTTGAGGACAGGAGTGCTGAAATAGCTGGTTTCTCTAGGATTTTGTATCTCATGTAAATTGCGGCCATACCAAGAAATGCAGAGAAGTTTATCATGAATTCAAAAATACTCACTGGAGGGGTTGTTCCTGTATCGGTGAGGTAGGGCAGGAAGGGGTTCATGTGCACAGAGAGCATGGCTACTACATAGGAGATAATGACTGTGGCCGACGACCAGGTCACCAACAAGAAGGGGAGGAAGGCCATGCCCTGCAGGAAGCACCACATGGTGGGGTGCTGTCACTGTTGGTAGGCGGAGGCAGCAGCCTGAAGCAGGACAGGGTATGACCAGTACGCAGGGAGCAGGGGGCAGGTGGGACGGGCTGTTGCCACACTGTGAGGTCACAAAGTGAGATGCTGGGCACCAGTGGGCCACAGGGTCCTGGCCTGAACAGTTTTTTTGAGTCATTATTCTTTAGATCCATTATAGAAAACGTAGGGAAAAAAAAAAACCTAACCAGTTTCACTACCATCTAGTCAAAGACAATCATTATTAGCATGTTAATATACTTAAAGTCATTATGTCAATTTTATTAGTCATTAAAATATCATCATATAATAAAGTTAGAATGAGTATCCTCTATTTATACATAGTCCCATTTATGAAGAAAGAAATTTGGCTAATACAGTACAAAGGGGATCTAGTCAGTCTGAAGTAAGACAATGTATCTTTTTAATCCAAGTTATTCATATCACTTGGCAATTGTAACATCAAAGCATGAATAGGCTGGGATTAGGAAGTGTATTACCTCTTCTGAAACTGCCACAGACTGTAGCAATGTATTCAGAATCCAGTTTTTTAACTTCACTTAGTACAATATCCTAATAGAAAAAAAATTAAGTCAGTATTCCAAAAATGGCTTTTCACAGTAACATTCTCAATACCAATCAAAGAACACAATTCAGTACACTCTTACTTGCATTTGTAACATCTCTTCACGAGGGATTCTTTTTTCAAAGTCCTCAAAGTATCTATAAGGGTGAAAGATTTTTGTAAATTTAAATCTCTTTAAAAATTAAACTACCTACATACTAAGTATCCTTATACCCACAGATCATTCTCATAATTCTCACAAATCAAGTATAGAATACATTGAGAAGGCAAAAATAAAATGGGCAGGGTTTTTTTTTTTTTTTTGGTGGTGGTACGCAGGATTGAACTCAGGACCTTGCGCTTGCAAGGCAGGTGAGGTGCCACTGAGCTAAATCCCTGCCCTAGGATGTCTATTTTTGAAGTTAATTCTTTGTAATATTTCAGAGACTCCATCTAAAATATTTGCGGCAGGTTCACATGATAGAGGAAAATAGGTATATTTAAACAAGTACATGTTTTCAAAGCAGATTACTCTCTACTGGTAAGTCAAGGGATTATAGTTTATTGCTCATGAATCTTGCAAAAAAACTATGGAAGAAGTGCTAGTGTACCATTGCACAGTATCATGACTATAGATAAAAATAACACAGTTTATGCCAAAAAGCTAGAAGAAAGGATTTTGAACGTTTTCACCACAAAGAAATGGTAATTGAGGAGATATGCTTACCTTGACTTACATATTATAAAGTGTGTACATATATCAAAACATCACATCACACCTCACAAATACATACTATTTTGTTCTTAAGTATCAGTAAATTAATTTAAATTAAGAAATAACACAAAAACTCTGCAAAATTATATATATATATACACACACAAACACACACACACACACACACACACACACACACATACACACATATCCTTGGCTTGCGAGGCAGGCAGCGGAACCACTGAGCTAAATCCCTGGCCCTGCAAAATTATATTTTAAAATATTATCCTAACAACATGGATGAACTCAGATAAGAATATGCTAAGTGAAAAACTCTAGTCACAAAAAGACATGTATTGGCCACAGTGGATTCATTTATATGACGCATCCAGAATAGGCAATCTATGCGACAGACAGATGAGTGGCTGGTTGTCTAGGGCTGAGTAGGCTGAGGGGCAATGTGCATGGGATAAATGGGGAATGACTGCTAAGGGCACGGGGTTTTTTTGGATAATAAAAATATCCTGAAACTGACTGTAATAATGGTTGCACAACTCTATGGATATAGCAAAAATCATTAAACTCTATAGTTTAAATGGTTGAATTGTATATAACTGTATCTCAAGGCTGTTATAAAGATATCTTAGGTTGAAATAATGTCTAAGCAAATATCTAAAAATCATGATGTGCCTGTTGAAAACCAATTTTCACAAAGAACAGGTTCTTCAGAAGATCTCACTTCCTATGGAAATGCAAAGAAAGTGAGAGTCACACCATCCTGGTGTTACTGATACTACTCTTAGACTAGCAATGTAAGTTTAAAAACATTTTGGTAAGGCATCAACAGGAAAGTTCAGACAGTTATTGGGACTGAATCACCAACCATTGGTACATATAGGACTTAATCACTGTCATCATAAGTAATCCATAGCTAGCACACAAAATAATTACTGATACTAATACAGAAACATGATCATTAGTTATTCTTATGCTGTTACTTATGTGTTTGTGGTTTCTTCTTTTTAATTTAATTTTTCATGTTTGATATTCTTTTCAGGCAGACTATAAACCCCTTAAAAGCTACACTGAATCTCTAATAACCTTATCCCAGACAAAGCACACAGCTTTGTACAACACAAAGTAAGCACCACCATCTGCCTGATGAACTCAGTTCTACTTATTTTAGGAAGAAGCTCCCTGCTAAAGTCAACAGAATGAGGGAAATCCTCAAAAACATGTAAACAAACCACAAAGCAATTATAAAATGTGTGAACTTGGGCAAAAAAGTGTACAAGATTCTGCAATGAATTTAGCATTGTTAAAATAAAAGAAGGTTATATTTAGCTAAGTGTGAAGAATTATGATATACAAAGAATGTTTATAAAAATTTTTAGTTTTACTTCTCAAGTATCAAAAGAAAATGCGCTTACTTTAGCCCAATTCGTTGATGATGGTTCAACTTATCTTCATTTTTCCTGAGATCTGAATAAAAGATAAAGTTGAGGAGTTAATTTAAATATTTTTTGGAAAAATTGAACTCCATAGCCCTTTTATTTTTTATTATTTATTTATTTATTTATTTGGGGGGCGGGGTACCAGGGATCAAACTTGGGACCTTGCGCTTGCGAGGCAAGCGGCAGAAACACTGAGCTAAATCCCTGGCCCATTATTTTTTTAAATTAAAAAAAATTTTTTTTCAGTACCAGGGATTAAACTCAGGGATCAAACTTGGGACCTTGCACTTGCAAGGCAGGAATGGCACAACTGAGCTAAATCCTCTGCCCTCCATAGCCCTTTTACAAAGAACTACTGAGGTAAAATGATTTTGGAAACAGAGAAAAAAATTTCAGACATGAAAACTAGATAAAATGACTTTTCAAATCAATGTAAAAGTAACAGCTGATTTCACCATCATTTTTATTTGCTCAATCAAAGTATCAGTTAAGAGTTACATGAAATAGTAGATAAATATACCAGGAATTATATCAAATTTTACTGGCTATAGCAAAAAGCAACCTAGAAGAACCACTGTTATTTAATTTATTGTTCATCGCAGTAGTAGTAACCACAACTTCTGAAGACTTTATGATTAACTGTGTGCGACTCACACTGGAGCTGCTTGTAAGTAGCTGAACCCAAACACTAAACCCTAAATGGCATAGATGTAATGAATCCATACATACAGTATATGCCCTTCCTTGGGAAGCATGAATGGACAAGTTAAATTTATATGATTACTGTATTAGGCTTAAGGAAAATGTTTTAAACTTACTTGACTTGGGCTCTATTTTTATCACTTCCTTGAAAGCAAAAATTCCTTCAATTAGCATTATAAATCTCTAACAAAAATCTTTGTCAATATATATAACATAACTTTTAGTCTGCTATATGACTTTGCCTAAAGTTTTATTAAAGGAACAAATGCAATTTAAATCTTCTAAAAAATTGCAAATTATAAATGGGAAGAAATGTTGAAATGAGAAGGTGAACAAGGGAGGGGGAGGGGGAATGGAAAGAAGGGACACAAGAAAAAAATTGAAACAAAGCTTTTGTAAATAAGGAGGGGAAGAGGGGTCGACAGGAGGGAGCAATGGGAAAAAAAGAAGCAAGATATACCATGTACAGGTACAAATTCCCTATGATGAATGTTACCGTTATGTATATCTAAAATGTACCAAGAAATGTTTTGAAAAAACAGTTTGCAAATTATAACTATTTCATTGCCTTAAAAAGTCACTTCTTGCTCTTCCTGATTTTTTTCTGAGTTATAAACTTTAAAATGTTTAAGATGGGAATATAAACTATATCCTATGTCTATTCCGTATTGCAGAGTTAAAAAGAAAGTCTGTATTGATTGAAAACAAATTTCTCAAGTTCGCATTTGTTACAGCATAAACAGTCCTTTGGGACCATATTTAACCTGGAATTAGTAACCTGTGGTATTACTCACTCACCTTCTAATGTTTTAATTCCTTCATCTACAAACTTCCTTGCAGCAGATGGACTATAAAGAAAGAAACACATCATTTCAATATCAGGTGAAACTCAAGGTCTTTGTAACAAATAACCAAATGTCTTCTATGTCAAACATAACCGTTATTAAGCTAAACAAGACCTGCTAAAATGGTTACTTTAGTAATGTTCAATTTTATCCAAAGTAAGAATTTTTGAAGCTTTAATTATTAGGAAGACAACCATGCACTTGGGCATTAAAAGACATCTAAGCAGCTAGCCCTCATAATGGCCATATACTGTATGGACATATAAGCACTTGAAAACTGTTCATTCATTCAACTAAGATCTACTGGGGAACCTATTACACAACAAATACTCTGCTGAAGATATAGCATAAATGAGACAAATAACAACCTTAGCCTTTATCCACTTATATCCAGTAGTCTTGAGTTCCCAAGGAGTATGCCCATTCTCAGTACACTATGTTTAAGAATTTATTACACTTTAGAATAACTTTCATCAGGGCAAGGGATGTAGCTCAGTGGCAATGCACTTGCCTGGCAAGTGCAAGGTCCTGAGTTCGATCCCTGGTACCAATACCTAATAATAATTTTCATCAGAAATGCAGCCATTTAAAAGGAACAATCATATACCTAAAGGAATGCCTTATTTCATAAAGATGAGAGGTAAGTAAAGCATTATGGCCTTAATATTTCAATATTAATCTTTGTCCAGTGTCAAAGAAGCTACCTTTTCTGCTAGTTCAAATTTTAAGATAAACATTTTTTTCATTCAAAATTGTCTGAAAGATTGTTCTAAATTATAATGTGCTATGGATAAAAGCTTAAGCCCTTAAGATAAACATGCTCAGAGAAGCAGAAGAGGCAGGACCTGGAGTGGGCAGTAAGACATACTCAGCAAGTGGAGTTTAGAGGAAGAGATTGTTCCTGGCTGGAAAATCAAAGTGGTTCATGAAGGAGGTGACATTTGCCTGGTACATGCTTTTACAGTGAAGGTAGCATCTGGCGACTAGCCTTGGACCATAAGGAAGGGTGACCATATTGGAAGATGCATTGTATGGGCAATAGTACAAACATAAAATACAGGTTTTTGAAGGGAAACAACATCTAAGTTTGTAAAAGCACAGGCTTTACAGGGAAACAGAATGTTGGTTGGCTGACATAAAAAATAAAACCAATCTACAACTGTGTCTGCTTAATAGTTCTTACCCAATGCCACTAACTCGAGTTAAGAAATTGATGGAAGAACTCATATCATCTTGCCGAATCTAAGGAAAAAAATGGTCAACTATGATTTAAGAATGCCTTGAGAATGTAAATGATCTCATTGGGAATACACCAGTATGCTACAAGAGGCGAAGAGCCATTTACATTTGCCTGGATAACCCAGACAGAAGTATTCATATTTAACATAGATAGTTACAGGTAACAGAGGGTGTCCCATCTCTGATTTAGTCAATGCTTTCCAAAATTTTTGACTAGGGTGTAGCTCAGTGATAGAGTACATGCTTAGCATGGATCAGGCCCTGGATTCAATCCCCGGGACCAAACAATTAAATAAATTTCTTTTCCTTTAAATTGACAGATTAAAAATGTATACATATTTATCATTACAATATGATATTTTGAAGTATACATATGTTGTAGTATGGTTAAATTTAGCTAATTAACAAATACATCACCTCTCATAGTGATTTATTTATTTATTTTTTTGGTACCGGGGATCGAACTTGGGACCTTGCAATTGCGAGGCAGGTGGCAGAACCAGTGAGCTAAATCCCCAGCCCCTCTCATAGTTATTTTTATGGTGAGAACATTTAACATCCACTCTCTGCATTTTCAATTTCCAAATACTTTTAAAAGTCCTATTCGTAAAAGACTGAAAATCATTAGGGTGAAATAAAGTCATAAAAACGCTTAGGAGAATTTAAGCATAGAAATTCTAAATGATAATGATAATGATCTTTTAGTCAGAGTTATAATCTCCTACAATTTCTTTTCTGAATGGTACTGAAAATGAAGAGCCAACACTACCATCAATGCTGTCATTTAAATGTAACATAAAGTAGAAAAAAAGGGTGTGTGTGTGTGTGTGTACATAAGCATAGTTTTTTGTTTTAGATAGTGTCTCATCACACTGCCAACCCTGGTTTCAAATTCATGAGCTAAAGTAATTCTCCCACTCTGCCTCCTAAATACATCTGGAACTTCAGGAATATACACTATACTGGACTAATATATGAAAATTTTACATAGCAGTATTTACATTTTTAGAAATAGAATACTTAAAGCCATAAAGGTCATTCATATCTTTTCCTTCTCAGTCTCACTAGATTGAATGACATCAAACACCCTGACACATGATAGTTGTCATAAAGAAAGATACTGTAATCATGTAAGTAAACAAGTTAAATTTTACCTTTTCCAGTTTACGCAATTTTCCAGTTGCTAAAAACTCATCAATTTTTTCAGCAATTTTTGTTCCTACTCCAGGCTATAAAGAAAATTAAAACTATAAAAGTCAAATAAATATAACATTTACCAAGTCACTAAAAAATAAAAAGTGAAAAATGAAAAACAAATGAGTTCATACTGAGTGCATATTCAAGTTCTGAAAAGAGCAATGACCAAGCAGAAATGAACAGGTCTAGAGGGATTAGAAAAGGGAAACTACTTAAGCTTTTCACTTCCTGTATCAGATGATAAAAAAGAAAGGTAATTTATAGTAGTGCTAACAGTAATTTTACTCTATAACATACTGACTTCAAGCATCACTACAATAAATTTTACTCCATGAAATACTGACCTCAAGCAGTTTAGACCCAAACTATTTCTTATACCTACCATTAAGAAAGAAAAGACAGATATCTAGAAATTTTTTTTTTCAGATTTCTGGAATTACTGCAGAGCCCTCATATGGCTAGATAGTACATCTGTGATTGTTTAAATAATAGTGAAAAGGAATAATGAAGAATTTTTATGTTCAGTCTAATCTAATGTAAAAGTAGTCTCAGATATTTTTGTATTACTACTAGGGAAAAACCATGAGCTCAGATTTGAAGATTATCAGAGCTTTTCAGAAATCTTTCTATAATAAGGAGGCTATGTGCAATAAATTTGAGGAGTTTTAAATCATTTGGTAGGATTTAGGTTAAAGAACATCTATTAATAGGTAGACCTTCTCAGGATATTCTTAGTGGTATTGTTACAAACTACCAGGAGATGTAGCCCTCTAGAAACTGTGACACTACTAGTAAATAGGGCCTCATGGAAATTACAAAGAACAGAGCTAACTGCCAAAACATGAAAGGGCTTAATCATGTGCTTATTAGCAGGTGACAGCTTTTAGGGGACACTAACTCCCATAAGTTTTTACAGCTAGGAATCAAAGAACAATAGCTAAGAACCACATATGCTAATATCACTTTTGGACACCAAGGTCTACTTAAGGAGTCACATTCAAGGTGAAATTCAATGTGAGAGTGACTACATGCATACAGGGCAAAGTAGAGAATAAAGCTGTAATTACATAAATTTTTAAAAATATTAAACCACCTTCCCTCCAAATAAAAAACACTTTAGTTAGAAAGTATGCTTGATACAGGATTAATTTTATTCCAAGACATTAGGAACAGCAAACCCTGCCTTTGTGAGTCAGGCAACTTCAGAGAGATGAGTTTAGTTTTGTGGAAACCCAGAATTTGTATATACGTGAACTCTTCCATCAAAGTGCTCACTAAACCTACCAATTTCTTGGCTTCTGCTCCACTCTTGATTTTGTGTGGGTACTTTGCTATAACTGATGCTGCTTTTCTATGAGAGAAAAAGAAACAAAATAAATTAAGTCCATCAAGCCCTTACTTTTCTTTAATTGATGTCTATATTCTAAGATAACTAATTGTCCATCTTCATATAAAACTTAAAACTTAGATAGCTGACAGACCAGCTACTATATTTTTAATTTTTAAAAGTATCTTGAAGTTCCTTTCTATACCTAAATGATAATGCTAGTACAAGTACTAGAATTTATGGGACACAATGAAAGGAGTCCTAAAAGGGAAGTTTATAGCTGAGAATTCCTACATCACAAAAACAGAGCCAGCACAAATAAATAACTTAATGATACATCTCAAGGTCCTAGAAAAACAAAAACAATCCAAACCCAAAGCTACTACAAACTACAAGGAAGGAAATTATAAAAATCAGAGCATAAATCAATGAAATTGAGACAAAAAAATACAGAGTCAATGAATTGAAAAGTTGGTTCTTCAAAAGAATAAACAAAATAGACAAATCCTTAGCCAATCTAAACAAAAAAAGGAGAGAAAAGACAAGAATCAAAGCAATCAGAAATTAAAAAGGTAGCCGGATGTGGTGTTGCATGCCTTTAATCCCAGCACTAGGGAGGCTGAAGCAGGACTGCCGTGCATTTGAGGCCAGTCTGGGCTATATAGTGAGTTCAAGGCCAACCTGAACTACATAGTGAGACCTTGTCTCAAAAAACCAAAAAGAAATTAAAAGGTCAAATCGAAACAAAAAAGATTATTAACAATTACTCTGCAAATCTATAAACCAATAAATTGGAGAATTCAGAAGAAATGGATGGATTCTAGATATATATGAATTACTAAAACTGAACCAAGAAGATGTAAAAACCCTAAATAATTCACGCAATGAAACTGAAGCAGTAATAAACAACCTGTCAACTAAGAAAGCCCAGGTCCAGACAGATTCACTGCTGAATTCTACAGAAATTTCAAAGGAGATCTAGCACCAATACTCCCCAAGCTTTTAAATGAAATGAAAAGGAAGGAAGACTCCTAAAGTCACTCCTGGAAGCTATGATTACCCTGATTCCAAAACCATACGAAAAAGAGAACTGTACATCAATCTTTTTAATGAATATAGATGCAAAATTCCTCAACAAGATATTGGCAAACAGAATGAAATAAATCATCAAAAACATCATACATGACCAGGTAGGCTTCATCCCAGGGATGCATGGATGGTTCAACATACACAAATCTATAAACATAACATCACATAAACAGAAGCAAGAACACCAACCATACAGTCATCTCAATAAACAAAAAAGCTTTTGACAAAGTCCAATATCCTCTCATGATGAAAAATAAATAGGTATAGAAGGACCGTACCTCAATGTGATAAAAGCCATTTATGACCAATCTACTGCCAACATCATATTAAATGGGGAAAAACTGAAAGCTTTCACTCTAAAATCAGAACAAGACAAGGATGCCCACTATCACCATACCTGTTCAACACAGTAGTCGAAACATTAACAAAAGCAATTAGGGAAGAAAAAGAAAAAAAAAGGGATATGCACAGGAAAAGAAGTCAAATTAATATTTGCAGATGATATGATCTTCCACGTAGAAGACCGAGAAAAATGTAACAAAAAACCTCTTAAATTAACAACCAAATTCAGTAATGTAGGATATAAAATCAATGCACAAAAATCAATAGTGCTGGGGCCGGGAATTTAGCTCAGTGGTTCCAGTGCCTGGCTCGCAAGTGCAAGGTCCCGAGTTTGATCCCTGATACCAAAAAAAAAAATCAATAGTGCTTTGGGAAGTGGAAGCAAGAGGGTCACTGTGAGTTTGAGGCCAGCTTGGGCAACACAGTGAGACCCTGCCTAAAAAAAAATAGGTCAATAGTGCTCCTGTACACTAATAATGAACCCACTGAAAAAGAAATTAGGAAGAAACACCATTAACAATAGCACCCAAGAAAAATTAAATACTTAGGTGTTAACATAATTAAAGAAATAAAATACCTCTACAATGAAAACTACAGTACTATAAAAAGGAAATCCAAGAGGACTTCAGAAAATGGAAAGATATCTCCTGTTCCTGGAAAGGCAGAATATAGTCAAAATGGCCACACTTCCAAAAAATTTTTTTATTAATTTTATTGGTACATTTTAGGTATACAATATAATGACATTCATCATT